TATATATATATATATACTGTATATAACTCTGTATGCACCGTTAATTACTGTAAATAGGTCTATTTTGGATTTATATTTCTAATGTTTTTTTTATTTTATTTATTTTTGTCGTAAATTTGTTGCAAATTCTCTGTTCTCCAGGTGACCTATCAGCTTAAAATCCTTACCACGGCTCTGTTCTCAGTGTCAATGCTACAGAGAAAGCTGACAAAATATCAGTGGCTTTCTTTGTTAATCCTGATGGCGGGAGTAGCACTAGTCCAGGTAAATACTTGATATTTTTAATCATTTGTATTGTATTGTATTGTAGAAATAATCATAAAATAGGTATGTCTTTTCTTTTTAGTGGCCAGCAGATGCCCCTAGCTCTCCCTCAAAAGAAGTATCAGTGGGTTCACGGTTTGTTGGGCTCATGGCTGTCCTCACGGCTTGCTTTTCAAGTGGGTTTGCAGGTGTCTACTTTGAAAAGATCCTTAAAGAGACTAAGCAGTCAGTGTGGATTAGGAATATACAGCTTGGTAAGTTCTCAGTAATTATGTTATGCATACACACAAATGTGCACACCTACCTACACACACTTTACTTTTAGCCATAGTAGCAGAGCTGTCACTGCAGACCTAGTTCAGCTGATCAAACAATATTTACTTAAAGGACATACGCCTTATAAAAAGGAAGTTGTAGCTTAACAGGTATGTTTTCCAGTACTGTATTTGCAAGGACATTGGGTATTATTATTATTATTATTATACAGGATTTATGCAGCGCCAACAGTTTGCGCAGCGCTTTACAATATAAGGAAGACATTACAATCACAATACAATTCAAGACAAGATGGTAAAGAGGGCCCTGCCCCTGGGGACTTACAATCTAAAGGGAGGGGCAAGTGATACATGAGGAGGTAGCTGTGTGGGGATGAATTGTTTGAGAAAGTGATAGTTCAGTGGTTAGGTTGAGGGGGGATAGGCTTCCCTGAAGAGATGAGTCTTAAGGGATCGCCTAATGGCAGTCAGAGTGGGAGATAGTCGGACAGGTTGGGGTAAAGAGTTCCATAGGATGGGAGACTCTAGTGAAATCCTGGAGGCCAGCATGGGAGGAGTTGATGAGGGAGCTGGAAAACAGGAGGTCTTTTGAAGAGCGGAGGGGACGGTTAGGGTGATGCTTTGAGACAAGGTTTGAGATATAGCCGGGGCAGAGTTGTGAATGGCTTAGTAAGTGGTTAATATTTAGAATTTTATCCTTTGGGCTATTGGAAGCCAGTGCAGGGATTGGCAGAGCGGGGTTACAGACACTAAGCGGTTGGTTAGGTGAATGAGTCTAGCAGCTGCATTCATGATAGACTGAAGGGAGGATAGCCTGTCTAGAAGAATTATTACCACTTCAATGTCAGTATGTGAACGGTCCAATTTTCCACATGTCTTATTTTTACATCAGAGATGCTCTCGATTGCCAGATGTAGATGCCGGTCAGGTGGCCCAATATGCCCTTGTATAGGCAGCTAGTATTTGATAGAAAAGGGTGACTACAGTGAAAAAAGAAATAAGAAAATATGAATGGGCTGATGTAAGTAATGGGCTGTTGTGTCTTGTAATATTTCTGTATTTAGTGATTAGGTCACTTTAACGTTTGATATACTCTGTTTTCTCTACTCCTATTGGCATGTTCCTTGCCAAGTCGTGCACAACTGATTGGCCCTTAGTACTACCCCTCCCACTCACATTCTGAATGTTATTGTAGGGGGATAGCAGTAGGTGAATACCAAATAAAAATCAGGTACTTTAATTAGTTTTATAACCTATTGTGGATAAATAACTGCATTGACTTGTGTTCTTTTATTATCTGCCTGGAATTCAGCTTTAAAGTATACTTGCGGCTGACTTCTTGGTCCACAGAGTAGGCTCACCCCGCCCCTGAATGCAGTGCTCAGTACTTCCCACCCTATCACCAAGCCTAAATGCTGTCAGATAGAGGATAGGGAGCGTAGCTAAGCCTTTGCAAATATTGACCATAACAACGTTGGTATGTACATAGGAAATTTGCATTATTTGTCTTTATATTTTTGGTCACAGCAAACACACCAGAAATGAATGATTCAGGAACTGAGGTTTTTTTCTTTTTACTGGACTTCATTTATATTTATCGGTGGGTAGATTTATATACCTGTTATGCAGAATAAGACATTTGATAGATATAGTAGCCACGTACTTTGCAATTTTTTGCATACTAGTCATAGAATTTTACTGAAAATAATTATTTAAAACTGAACCATATAAGTATAAAGCTTTATAACTTCCTAACATATAAAGGGTCATTTATAAATCAAAAGCAGTACTTGTAGTGCATTTTTCATTTTCAAATGCATCTATACTATACATCTACAGTTCTCATGGGACTGAATCTCATTTATTGTTGACAAAATGTTTCTCTGGTATAGTTAACAGCTCCATACTGCAATGATTGTTCAAGGTCTGGCCACACTTATCCACAGGTGTATCCATCATGTGTCACATTTGTCACAAAGTTTACTAGTGCTGCAGTCTTATATGTATCTTGTTTCGTTTTTGTTCCTCACCTTGTGAATGATTTTCCCTTATTCAAATGGTATGCAAAGCTGACTGCATCCTTCTTGACTTTATGGCAGAAGGGAGGTAATTAGATTAAAGTTTGCATGCAGTCATGGCAACAGTGCATCCTCCACTCTACTACTTTACTGAGTTAAAACAAGACCTCCAAGCCCAGTGACAGATGGCTTTTGGGTACCTCAAGCACAATATGTTATACATTCGTAGCTTTTGTTAGATTAGTTAATTTGCTTTATAATTTCTGCATCTCAAATTTGCTTCCCTTATAGGTTTCTTTGGTGGAATATTTGGCCTGATGGGAGTACTTATCTATGATGGAGATCGTGTTGCAAAGGGAGGCTTCTTTCAGGGCTACAATAACTTGACCTGGACAGTTGTAGCTCTTCAGGTAGAAGATCACAGTTCTGCTTCCTTTGTCATATTAATGAGGAACTTCACCCCCATGTGTTTTTTATTTTTTTATTTTTATTTTTTTTATGCTGAGTAAACACTTATCCACCCTATTGAATCCAGCATTGTCTTGCTGTCATCCACCACCGTGTCCTGTGCCACCATCTTCCACTACGGCGTCATCAGGAGCCAGGTGTCTCGTACTGGTTGAGGAAGCTGGCCCCAGATTAGGCATCCCAGGTCCATCCTCCTCCAGCTGTTATTCTGCCTTTCTCCAGCAACTCTGCACAAGCTGAAGCCTCCTGGGAAATGTGAGGTTTCAGCTTGTGGGGGGGG